AACTGATGAGACAAATTATAGAAGAAATAATACTAAAAGATATAACTGAAATCCACTTTTCGACCGACTCCATGATGATATTTGTTAAGTTCTACAAACAACCAATACGCGTAGACGACTTTAAGCAACTAATAAACAGAAAGAACTTGAAAGACTGATACTCTATGCCTGACGGTTGATCAAGTATTTACTAGACTCGAGCAAAGAGGAAGAACGCAAGACCAATGTTCACCAATCCAGGATCCTTATTATTATTTCAGATGTTCAGTTATATACAAACAAGAACAGAACACTAATCATATCGATCAGTTAACAGTAGTAACACGAAACAACAACATTGATAACGGGAAGATGGAATATTGGGTACACAAATAATTGAATGAACGATACTATAGCAACAAATCATGGTTCAAATTAAAGCTTAGAGTTAGGGCAATAAGAAAATAATCAAATCAAAACGCTCAATAAGATACAACCAATATATAACAATAAAATCATAGAAAAATAGCTCCAAAAGTTTTCATTTCATAGTTAAAACATTTCTTACGATACCTCCCCTTTTTAAAAAAAATAATCATTGATGAAACCTATCATTAGGTTTCATTTTGATCCTGGTTGGTTTTCTTTGGATCTATTTCATTCTTCTTAATGATGAATTGAAATTGTGTGACGAACTCCGTCTTTTCATTTCTGTTACGTATTACATAAGATCTATAGATAACTAGTTTTATTCTTTTACATTATATTCAAATAGTGAATTTAGAAAATGAAGAAAGACATATGGTGTGGGTTTGCACTTTTCTTTTTATATGCTTCTGTTTTTGAAAAAAACACTCATCAATGTATACATACACGATAGATGTACTTATCCCTGATACTTGTGAAATATTTTTACATTAATCAAGTACCTACTTATTTATTAAAAAAGTAGTTTGAAATATATAACAAAAAAGTATCTTATTTGTGTGTGAAAATATTTTCTTTTTTTAATTCAAGGCTTACTGTTTTTGGGTGAGAATGAGATTTTACTTCGATAATATTGTCGATTGTGTATAACTTCTTCATTGTAATACAAGAAATGAAGTGAATATTATTACCATGAATATGATTATTATACTTCTATAGTTAATCATAATGGATTAAGCAAAGAAGAAGTCATATTATCATTTTAGTTAATAAATTCTCCTTTCAGCAATTGTCTTAACTATCCAGTTGCGTTTTTATGAACAGATTTATGAGTTTTTTCGGCTTAGTGTTCTTTTTTAGCGAGTTAGTTTTCTACGGGATGGGATAGCTAACTCCATACAATACCTTCCTCCTTTATTCGTGTTTTAGACTGGCAGTAGCTCCAGAGGCGCTCTAGACAGAGAGAAAAGAAAAGATATTCGTATTTTGGTACGAAAAGAAGAAAATCGACAGAATGTTTCTATAATTACGAGAAAATAATAATAATGACGAAACAAGAAGTTGAACGTTCAATATGATTTGAAGTCGAAGATTATCTTAAAGTAAGTAGTAGTGTTCAGAGAAATTTTGAAATGTTGATACGTTCTTACTGATTAATGTATCTCATACTTGTCAAATTATCTAAGCTATAACGAAAGTATTATAAGCAAAGATGGATAGTGGCTAATAATGGAATCTAAGACGCGAGTTTTGTCCTAAGTAGTGAAGTGGATAAAGCGATGTCGTTTGAAGTGAACAATACTGGATTCGCGTCCCAAAAATGAGCATGAACTCTGAGATACAGGTACATGCAGATGACTAGTTCCAAATCGAACGAAACGCGCTTCCTGGATTCCACTGCTAACCATTATCCATCTTTCTTCTTAATGCTTGTGAATTAAGGTAAAATCGAGCCAATCCGTACAGTATGCACACATACCAATAAGAGATTGATCAATTTCAGTCCTAAACATCAATGGAAAGATTCAAGTAAAACAATATCAAGCGAATATAACAAAAATGTTCTGAAACAATGAATCATTCTGATTTTGATCGGTTATACATAAATTTACATATTTGCTTAGCAACTCGTGAATTAACCTGAGAAATTAATGTCATCTCCAAAAATTCTTATACTGATAATTACCATGTGCTCACTAGTGACTAGATTCGACAGATAATTCTCAGAGTTTTAATAAGAAGTTGTGACCAGTGGAGTTAATCCATGTCAGGTAGAGACAAGTATCTACCTCAGACAATGCAAGATGGTCGCGGAATTACGTGGATTAGTTGATGTTGCCTCAATGGTCTAGAGGTTAACCGTTCACGAAAGAGACCGACGGTCATGGGTTCGAATCTCATGTGCTTGATCGTGAATTGTTTAAAGTCAGACATCAACACCGTTGGTTGTCGGCTCACTAGTTTAGACATTATGCATCCTTATTTCGAATCCCATGCATGAAATTGTGGATGCGCACTACTAAATAGTCTCATACTAGGACGAAATAGTCGTCTAGTGCTTCCAGGTTTTCAATGATGATCTAACATCAATCAGTTCATGATCTTAATCAAAATCTAGATAATTAACATAGCACATGGGTACATCATGTCACTTGTTTGCTTTTGCTGATTTTGATGAAATAGAAATGAGTAACATTCAACTATTTACCAAACTAAACTCTCGGAAAAACAAAGTTTATTTGTAATTATATACAGTAAGATAAGTAATAGAAAGATAGACGTAATTATTCAAACAGTAAGATTTATAATAAGCCAATTTCTGGTTTCTGTGGAACAGTCTATACTCCTACACGAAGGGTAAGTGTAGTAATAAGCCGATTTCATTAAAATTGCCACGAAATCATGAATATCTTTTATACTTTATAACCTACTTATATATCTTTGATATAATAGGCACATATTTGTATATTGTTAATAGTTGAATTCATGAGTCAATTGAAGCTGGACCATCATGGAAAACCTTGAAGTATTGACGTTCGTTTCTTCCTAGTACGGGACTCTCCAATAGTGTGCACCCACGATTTGCGTGCGAACGCCTAACTTCTAGACCACTGAGCCTGCATCCAACGGTGTTAATGTTTAATTTCAATAAATCCACGAAATTGAGCAACCATCTACCATTGTCTTCAGTGAATATCTGCATTTACAACAGACCCGGTTGAACTCAACTGGCCACGGCTTCTCATTAGGACTCCAGGAAATACCTCTTGAAAACAATCACTATTGAACACATGATGATGGGGTTTTATGGATTGTAGTAATTGTTAATAGTTGAATTCATGAATCGATTAGGACGCAACGGCCATTCAATACTTCTACGTTTTCCATGGTGGTCTAGATTTATTCAACTCATGAATTTTACTATTAACAATTATTATAATCTACACAAAACCCCCCATTTTGATAACCATCTGGAGTATGAGGCAGTTACTCACCCAAAACAATAGGAGGTTCATGGGACTGAAGGTCCTGGATTTGAGTAAAGAGTGCCAGCTCGTAAATAAGCACTACTGAAATGTCCCATACTCGGATGAAACCGTCGTTCAGTGATTTCAGATTTTCAGTACTGGTTTAAAACTGACCGATTCATGTTCTCAATTAAAACTCAAGAATCTCTATAACCATATACATTTATTTATTGTATTTGTTATAAGGTATAGTACGAGATTAGGCCGTACTATTCGGGTTATAAATTTTAATCTTGGGTAATGTCTAGCTCTCTTGCGAAATGGGTTCAAGCTGTACTACTCGGGCTACGCCTGGGCGGTATCTGGATCCCCTATTAAACGGAATTGAGCTGTTCAGTTTAGGTTGTCACGTGAAAATCTGGATGCTGTCCGGTTCTCCTAAATAATCAATGTAAAATTACACTGGCTAACACAGGTCTATTATATAACAGTGTGCCACGAGAAGGTAGTGAATAGGACTTCCCCAGCAGAGGCTATGTGCGCGTGGCCATGTGAGAGCATATGGAAAGCGAGAGCCGACTCTCTCCACTCTCGGCCATACCAGACCATTTAAGGGTAAAATCTAAGATCCATACAGTAAGTAATTTATTTGCAACATTTCAGTCAATCTTCTCAGACTTCATTGTTTCTTTTTTTTTCATTTCCATACCAATCATTTTCTGTTCTTATTCTGTTCTCTTCGATTTCTCTCAACCTTCTGCCTCCAAGCAATTCACTTTCAACTGCTGATACATACTACTTATATCTATCAACATCAGTAGTACATATCACAAAATGAATAGAACATGAAATTTCTTATGTTAAACAATCGAAAGTAAATCATACTATTAAAATGAATAAACACAAGGTTTATATAATACATAAGTGATAAAGTAGAATATTACTTACAATATAGATTTCAGTAGTGAGAGCGGTTAAATTGAAAATAAACAAAAATCATAATATGAATTCTTATTACTTTCTTTCAATTGTTCTGTGTATTCACTTCAACTTCCTAAAGAAAGGAACTCATTATATTAAAGAATACAATAGAATCTAAATATATTAACCTATGGAACTATAATATACTACTGAATAAGAATATAAGTATTATGTATTATTAGATTATATATTACTCTATAGCAACAATTCATGAGTATAGTTCGTATTAGTCAAGTTTAGTCGGAATGATGATTCATTACTCAAAAAAAGAGCTTCTATTGTTTAGAGTTGTTCAACCGGTATATATTCAGTAGAAATAGGTTAGGAATTTAACATGGTTATAATTATGAATAGTACATCAATATGGATAGTTGAATTCATGAGTCGATCTAAGTTAGATCGCCATTTAAAAACCTGGAAATACTGAATAACTGTTTTGTCCTAGTATGTGACTTTTCAGCAGTGCGCATACAGAATTCCGCTAGCGATATTTGAACTCAGGACCTGTTGGTATTGCGTGTAAACGTACTTTTTGTAGATAAGTGAGCCGACAACCAACAGTGTTAATGCCTAAAAAATTGCTTAACTGTTTGGACTAAACGAGGGAGACGGCGATAACAGTGATGATTATGATTTGGATGATGATTAGGATGATGATGATGATTTGGATGATGATTTGGATGATGATGATGATGATGATGATGATGATTTAGGTGATGATGATGATGATGATGATGATGATGATGATGATGATGATGATGATGATGATGATGATGATGATGATGATGATGATGATGATGATGATTTAGGTGATGATGATGTTGATGATTCGGATGATGATGATTTGGATGATTTGGATGATGAAAGCTCTATAATGAAATCATGTAGATCAAAGAGTTAAACTCTATCATAATCATTCACCTTAATTATAAATCTTCACTATCATCTTTAAATCTAACATTCCATCTGATAATCTAGTTTATATACTTTTTTCCTACAATGTAAAGTGTTGAATTTCAACATCATTCACGATGATTTTATAAATAGATACTTGTCCTTCTTCTTCTTCTTCTTCTTTTTCTTCTTCTTTTTCTTCTTTTTCTTTTTCTTCTTTCATACTTTACATGAACTTGACGTTTAAAATACTGTAAAACTAAATCGATCAAATTTTTGACAAAAGTTCTTAAATATTGATAATTTGTTTTTTTTCTGTGTTTTTCTCTCTCTCTCTCTTTCACACACACACACACTCTCCCTCTCTCTCTCACCCAGTTTCCACTAATTAACTTTAATACTTTCATTCATTGTGGTTAAAAAAAAAGAAAGAAAAAAAGAGAGAAAACTAACAAAAAGAAGAAAAATTTAAGCCTAAAAACAGTAAACGTTATATCATTTCAGTTTGTTTCTTTCTTTTTCCTTCTTTTTCTCTCGCTTTTTTTCCTCTTTTTTTTCTTCTTTTCTTTTTTTACTTAACAAAGTTATAGTTTATTACAAAAGTGTAATAAAAGTCAGACATAATTCAATGTTTAGTGTTTTTTTTTCTTTTTTCCAAAATGTGTTTAAATCTTTCTTTCTTTCTTTTCTTTTCTTTTCTTTTTTTTCTTTTTTTTCTTTATGTGGTATATTTAAAGATAAGATTCATTATATTCTGTACTGTAACATTAGTGATAATGGGAGCTATTTGAACTGAAGTAAATGGAATAGGGGTTCGAACTCTAAACCATTAACTAAATGTTATAACTTGTGAACCTATATGCCCTGCTAATCTATCATGATAATGATACCATTAATTAAAGAGTAGTGAATTATTGATCGGACCAATGATGCATAAAACAAGTACGAGCAGTCTCGAGGCCTTATTGGTCCTGCTTCCTGCCTAGTTCAGACAGTTAAGTTCAAAACATCAACCTCAGTCTCTGCGATAGGAATCCTGTATTTTAAGCATACTGGGTTTATATTACCGACCAGAGAGACTACATCTTACCAATGAAATAGGAAACAACATTTGTACAAGATTTGGCCAAAAATGGCTGTGAATGAGGGAAGTAGTGATTGATAGATAGGGTATAGTTCAAGAATGGTAAACCGTATAATAACAGGTCATTACTTACTTACTTACTTACTTACTTACTTACTTACTTACTTACTTACTTACGCCTGTTACTCCTCGTGAAGAAGCATAGGCCGCTCACCAGCATTCGCCATCCAACCCTGTCCTGGGCAATCCTTTCAAGCTCTTTCCAGTTCTTATTCATCTTTTTCATATCTGCTTCTATTTCCCGACGTAATGTGTTCTTTGGCCTTCCTCTTTTCCGCTTCCCTTCAGGATACCAAGTTAGGACTTGCCTCGTAATGCAGTTTGATGATTTCCTCAATGTATGTCCTATCCATTTCCATCGTCTTTTTCTAATTTCCTCTTCAGTTGGAAGCTGGTTGGTTCTCTCCCACAAAAGGCTGTTGCTGATGATATCCGGCCAATGGATGTTGAGTATCTTGCATAGACAGCTATTAATAAATACCTGTACCTTCTTGATGGTGGTTGTTGTAGTTCTCCAAGTTTCAGCTCCGTACTGTAGAACTGCCTTGACGTTCGTATTGAAGATTCTGACTTTGATATTGGTTGAAAGTTGTTTTGAGTTCCATATGTTCTTCAGTTGAAGGAATGCCGCTCTAGCTTTGCCAATCCTCGCCTTGACGTCTGCATCTGAACCTCCTTGTTTATCGACGATGCTTCCCAGATATGTGAAGAATTCTACATCTTCTAGAGTTTCGCCATCAAGAGTGATTGGATTGCTGTTCTCCGTGTTGTGTTTGAGGACCTTGGTTTTCCCTTTGTGTATGTTGAGGGCTACTGATGCAGAGACTGCTGCTACTCTGGCTGTCTTTATCTGCATTTGTTCGTGTGTATGTGATAGGAGGGCTAATAACAGGTCATAGATCAAAATAAAGCTCATAATAAGAGGGATATGAATATAAACAGTTTAGTTACATAACAGTTATACGACAAAAAATATACGTTTAGTATTGGTCCAAAAACGGATCCCAAAAGTTACCATTCATTATTCTTATCGGGATATAACACTAAAAGTTAATTGTTTTGACTATTATGTAGATTATTAATAATAATGGCTTTATTCAGTATTTTAGATTTAGCGCAACTGCTGATGAGTTCCACAACAGAACGAAACGGCCGTCCAATGCTTCCAGGTTTTCAATGATTGTCTAGCTTCAGTTAACTCATCATCTCGATTATTAAAATTACTACAATCGCTACAAAACCCCTTGTAATACTAATCAACATATGCTCACTAGTGACGGGGTTTAAGAGGTATTGCCTGAAGTTCTAGTGAGAAGCAGTGACTGGTGGAGTTCAATTACGTTTTTTTGTGAGATAGTAACTCATTGAAGACATTAGTGGATGTGTTGATCAATTTTATGAATTATTTGATGTTAGATAGTAACACCATTGAATGTCGGCTCAGTGGTTTAGTGGTTAAACGCTCTCGATGCTCACTATTGAGAAGTTTCACAATAGGATGAAACGGTCACAAAATTAGATAACTTGTTGAAATATCTAGATGGCAGGGACAGGTAGCCTAGATGTTCAAGCAGGCCGCCTTAACTACTATCCTATTCATTTACATATAAATGTATGAAGTCATGGTAAAATCTGCTTTTAGTTGATAATAAATTCATAAAACTGCATTTGTTATGGTGTACTGACTCCATACTCCACCTCCCTTTAGTTTCTTGGTTCTATCAATTTATAATACATTCTTATACGTGAATCAATGTCAAAGATGATTGGGATTGAAAATAAAGATCAGAAAGCCTAGGTTACATTGTCGATAATGCATCACATTAGTATCAAAGATGTTGTGGTGTGTGCTACTGATGTCAACAGATATAAGTAGTATGTATCATCAATAGAAAGTGGAATACCCGACAGCAGAATGTTAAAAAGATCAAAGAGAATGATTGCTGTAGAAACCAAAGAACATTGAAGTCTGAGACGATTGATTAACATTTTGTAAATGAAGCATTTACTGTATGATTCTCAGATTTTACTAAGACATTCTGTAGTTTTGTATACAAATACATTCGATTGTCCCCACGGGTGTTCTTGTTTACTACACTAACTCGAAAGTATCTTCAGTTACCTGTTTTGATAAATTCTAATTGTTACTAGTTGTAGACATCAGTTTCGTTCTAATTTAAACTTGTTTGTTGGAGGTATCTTCTTTCCACTATTGATATTTTCGTTGGGACTCGAACCTAGTACCTATTACTAGAAACAAAGTATGGTAAAAGTACGTTAAAAAAGGTTATTGCTTAAGTAAGATCCCATCATGTCAGTCTGACTGAATTGAAATCTACTTAGTATCTGCTGTAGAATATAGTGTAAATATGTTGAAAGTAGACATAGTCTACCAGAAACTCAAATGATAGACAATATCATTGAAATATCTGATTACGAAAAATCCATTTGATGAGATTCACTCTACCATCCAGTCATTCTTATGTATTCGGTTTCCGCCCTAATTTGATGAAACATTTCATCAATTCCTATGATATTATAACCCTATGTATTTGATATTCAATCATTGGGTAAGTACGAAATAGGTAAAATAGGTGTTCACTGAATTCTAATGAATAATGAATTGAGTATCAGGTTCTTAAATGCTGAAAGGCTTGTTTATCCAGTGAATATTTCATTGTAAACAGATAACATATAAATGGCTAATACATAGGGTAATTATTAAGTATATCACTTTTGCCCCCTAATGCTCTGGTATGGTCGAGGGTGGGGAGAGTTAGCTCACTCTCTCAAAATGCTCTCACATGACCACACGTATACAGCCATTATCAGGGAAGTCATACTCACTGCCTCCTCGCATCATCGGTGTAGTTTACGAAATTGACAGGAAGAAAAATGAATGTCTGACGCTTTAACCGGGTTGGTGAGTAAAGGAGATCCACCTAGGGGAGTAGGAAAACCCTGATTCCAAACAAATGGTACACATGAGTTCCAGTATCCTGAAGGAACAAATGGCATATGAACCAATTGTTAGTCACCGTCTACCATGAGATTGCATCTCTTTACCTTGTTCCATTACCTTATGGATCAAACCTTTAGGTCCTTTAAGAATACCATCGGCTTCGATTAGTGCACCTAAACAATGTCACAGCCCACAAACAAATCAACTGACTTGTGTGGTGCATATGTATTCGGTGCCCCTTTTTACCAGTATTTATATGTTCAAATAAATGAATAAATAATTCATTTGGTATTGTTTTTACATGAATCTTTCCATTGATGTTTAAGAATGCAATTAATCAGTCTCTTATTGGTATATGTGCATCCTGTGTGGATTGTCTGGATATTGCCTTCATTTACAAGCATTCTAAGCAAAAATGGTTAGTGACTAGTAGTAGAATCCAAGATGCGCTTTTTGTCCTATTTGGGACTTATCAACTAGATGTACCTGCATCTCAAAATTGATATTCACTCAAGGACTCGAACCTGGGAACCATTCACTCCAAAATAATTAAATAAATAAATAAATTTCTCTATTAACCCGTAGTAACTATTCACTAATATCCATGTTTTATAATGTATGTCAATGATCTTCCAAGTATAGTACAATCTCCGATGTTATTATACGCTGACGATGTAAAGATCTGGCGAGTAATAACTGGAGACACAGATTCAGATGCTCTTCAGGCAGACCTAAATAATATAATTAACTGGTCTAAAGAGTGGCTGATGCCTATCAACGCGGCAAAGTGTGTCTACATGCACTTCGGGGACTCAAATGTTAATAGGTATAACATAGGGGAGGTGCAATTACCAGTGGTTCGATCTCAT